AGAAATAACCCATCCAGATTGGCTCATCTCTATCATGGGTTTCCCCCTTGAGCTGAGAATAAGGGTTACCTCCTAAAAGATAGAGCTGGGAGAAAAATAGAAGCTACCTAAACAAAAATCATGATTTGTTAGAGTGGGGGATGGAAGTAGGATTTATGAACGCTTGTTGGGAATCCCCTGGTGGTCCGGTGGTTGGGACTCTGTGCTTTCACTGCTGAGGGTGTGGGTTCAATCCCTGGTTGGGGAACTAAGATCCTGCAAGCTGTGCAGTGCGGCCAAAAAAAAATGCTTGTTGATAGGAACATGGTGCCTATTATGGTTTCCCTTTCACATTTTTATTCACTTGAACTCCTTCTTACTTAGCCTGAGGCATCCATCTGCCTGTGTGTGTGTGTGTGTGTGTGTGTGTGTGTGTGCGTGCGCGCGCGCACGTGCGCGCACGTGCTGGGGTGAAGAGGGGAAAAGAAGAAATTAGTATTAATTTAACAGGAATGTAAAGAACTTTGCTTTTTTTTTTTGGAAAAAAGAACATTTCCAAAACAAGCTTAAACAATTAAATTATATGCCTTCAGTGAATAGGTTATTTATGTACATGATCAGGAGTAATATTGAAAATATTTGGACTTCCCTGGAGGCACAGTGGTTAAGAATCTGCCTGCCAGTGCAGGGGACACGGGTTTGAGCCCTGGTCCAGGAAGATCCCACATGCCGCGGAGCAACTAAGCCTGTGCGCCACAACTACTGAGCCCACTAGCCACAACTATTGAGCCTGCACTCTAGAGCCTGCGAGCCACAACTACTGAAGTCCGTGTACCACAACTACTAAACGCTGCGCATCTAGATCCTGTGCTCCACAAGAGAAGCCACTGCAGTGAGAAGGCCCCGTTCACTGCAACTAGAGAAAGCCCATGCACAGCAACAAAGACAGACAAAATCAAAATAAAGACAGCCAGAAATAAATAAATAAATAAAATTTAAAAAAAAATTAAAAGAAAAAGAAAATATTTAACAACTGGAACCAGATGGGCACTGGCCATTCAGAACAGACTGAAAAGGCCAGGCTGAAAAGGACTAGAAGAGCTGCATCTGCACGGCTGCCAAGCAGCTGAAGGTCAGCACCGCACATGGTACTAATTTAAAAAGATACAGAAGGGTAGACAGTGAAAGATGAGCCTCTCTTCTATGCCATCTCCCAGCTTCCTCGTTCACTTCTTCAAAGGCAGTCACTTTTACCAGCAAAACTTTGAAGGTTTTGCAACAAGGCAAAGCCAGGCTTTGTCAAGAAAGTAATTACTTTTCTAAATTCACTTATCTCCCCCTTTAGTATGTTAATTACCTGGCTTAGTAGACTTGACTGAAGAGTTTTACATATGGGAGCACCCAGTCAACCCAATCAGCCATAAACAGCAAGGGGAAAGGTCCATTCTTTCCAGTCCAAGGGATTGTGAAATAAAATTAATATTTTATGGCAAGACAAAAATGTAAACATAAAAAATTATTCTCTGACCTTTGGCTTCCTCTCTCCCACCACTGTGCATCATGTATCTGCATTATGCATCGACCAAACCTCCCCCATCAGCAGGCATACCTGTTGAACCATAA